TACGGTGGGACGAACTAGTTCATTATTCCTTTTTTTTTTTTTTTTGATATCTGTGAGTGTTTAAGTCAACTTGCTCAATTTCTTCTAAATTCTTARGTATGAACRGAAATGTTTGTAAGTAGCCACTTTGGTGGTGACTGGTGTAAGGTTCCTTATATATTGTTTTCTATATCACTTTGTTTTAATTGAAATCCTGTTTATTATTTTTGGTTGACACGTGCTTGACCACTATACATGTATTTTGAAGTGCTTAGACTCTGAAGTGTATGCTTATGTGTAGTTGAAGTTTAGAGTTAGTTGTCTACTTGTCTTAACTCTTACCTGCGGTTGATTGTTGAATGTATGAATAAAAATGGTACTGTGGCCATCTAATTTAGAATACACGTTACTCTAGTAGTTTCTTTTATTACCGCAATGAACGAGCATCCAGTGGAGAGAAAACCTGTTTACTCTGAGAAATAGATTCTTGCATGGATGTACAATATATTTGTAGCTCCGAACTAGAAGAASATGTATTTTGCTTGTGACCAAAGAAGTGGCTGAACAATTCTTTTCAATGCTTAGTCTCGTAGTTGCATATGTGTATCAGTACTTTTGAAATTACTTCATGGYTTTTGATGGCTACTTGGTGACACATCTCATCGTTATYAGCTCCATAATGTCAGTTAAATTTCCCTTAAAAATGGCCAAAAAARATATTATGTTTCACTTTCTTGCTTAGTCAAAAGCTGGGGCTCTGAAGTGAAATACATGACCTTATTTGGATATTGTGGTGGCAATAAGATGGCTCCATTATTTTGATTCCAATTGAATTCAAAATAGTTCTTCATATAGAATTAGTGATTAATGGATTTAAGTATCAAGTGACTCTTAATCATGGAACTCTAATGTGAGTTAAATATGTGACTTGTTGTTATTAGTCCTAAGAGGTCTAGGAGGGACAGGAAACCATTAGAGGAGAAGTTATCCAGAAACTCTAGTTCTCACGTTGATGATAATAAAGATCGGGATCAGAAGCATGAGCTTCGTCRCAGAGGGCAAAATSTGATACCCCATGAGTCTTCATTAGCACTTGATTCTAAGCCAGAAGGTGGGGTTGTTAGCAAAGAGGCAAACAAGAACAGTGATGGGGGGAGGGATGGAGGGACTAAACATTCATTGAATCCCACTGAAGTATCTCGAGTGCGATCTTATTTTCAGGTTTGTGCTATATGTTAAAGCATTTTTTTCCCGATTAATTTTGATTTTTTTTTCTAATTTCAGGTTTTGAAAATTAACATGACTCTAGTTTGGTTTTGTCCTTGTCCACTATCTAACCAATTTTCATTATTTGATCTGAAGAATTATTGACAGCAACTTAAAGATCATTATTGGTATGCTTTTACCATTCTTTAATCTGTCATCCTAATCCCAAACCTTTTTGGTTTAGAATCAGATTGTTTGTTACTATGTATGAGGTTGGAAGCTTCAAAAGTTTTGTATTTTTATGTTTGAATTTAACTATAATTACTACTTATCCGTTGCTACTTTATGTCGGTGTCGAAGTGGGACTGCTGCAAGATRTGGGCATAACAATTATTTGACTTGATCTACATAGAGCTATTGCTGTACCTTCTCTGATATAAATAAATTYGTGTTGAGGTTTTCCTTTGAATTTCATGAAATTCATAACCTGCATCGTATTTCATTTGAATATGTACGATGCAAAATAGTTTAGCTCAGTAATAATTGTCTCTGCCCCTTCTCCTCCTGCCCTTTTCATTATTTGGTGCAATTTAGATTATGCAACCTTTTTGCTGGGCTGATGTAGTTGGAATCTTGTTCAGCCCTGTGCCTTCAAGTGCATCCGTGTATATAACTTCTTAGGCTTGCCTGTGCATGTCTTATAACAGCAYGAGGAACGTGGTAATGCCGGGCAAGTTGGTCGAAGCTTTGGTCGGAGTGCAACTAGTGGTAGGTTTCCTTCCTTTTAAGCCCTGATTCCAACTTCTTTTTTTTGAGTTCTCTYCCTCGTTTATTTCTTACTGTGCAACGTCATGAGTATATAGCAGTGCACAAAGAAGACACTTTCTAGGTTATTCCTTATAACATTTTACTCTAAGCATGCCTATTAAGCATGTATTATTATTACTACTACTTTGATTCTCATGAAGACTACTCCAGATAATTGGAGCAGTTAACAAATACTGTTTTCCTCTTGTAGTAAATTCATGTACCCTTGTCGAAATGTTATGGAGACGGAGAAACTAGTGAAGTTTTGTTGTGGTGTAGTTCTGCCTTTCTCTTAAATGATCATATGGTCTTGGGAGGAAGTCATTCTACAAATAATCTCTCTGCCGGTGCCAAAAGGCAGAAATATAATTTTGTGGATAATGCACTTCTTATCTTTCTACTGTYCCGAAAATGTTACATATAAAATCCTTGTAGAGGTCAAATTTTTATCTAGACTTATATAGTGACAGTCTTGTACAGGAAAATTTAGAATCTCTCTTCAACCTTCTCGTTCCTGCTTCTCCACTTCTCTTGATGTAGTATTTTGTTTTTGTTTTTTTAATTTTTAGAGCGTGGTTGGTGGAAGGATTCGAAGGATGAGGATAACGATAGGGCACCTGGAAAGACAGCAACTTATAATTCACAGCAAAGAGATGAGATGCCACAAAGGGAGGATAATCACACGAGGCATCRTGATGGATCCTCGAAAGTGGAGGTTGATGCACCCACTCCTGCTCGGAAAAGGCCTGCATTTAGGGAAAAGAAGATTGCAGTAGACAGTGAAAATKTTGACAAAGCGGCTGTGGCATCAGAGACTAAGAAATCGAGTGATCCACACCATCCTGAGGACGGAAGGGAACGGAGAGAGGAAAGAGGCCGCGACACACGTTATTCTGAGAAACTTAATAAGCATGTCACTGGAGACATGGGTGCCAAAAGGGATGAGATAAAGAGAGGTGGCTACCCAGTGAGAGAAAGGTATGGGAATGGAGGTGGTGGGAACTACAGGGGAAGAGACAGATTCGGCGGGAGGCAAGGATATCGAGCGGGAGCGGGTGGTACTCGTGTAGAGAAATGGAAGCAYGACCTGTTTCACGAGGCTAACCGGAGTCCAACTCCGAAGAATGAAGAGGACCAAATTGCCAAGGTTGAAGCTCTCCTCGCTTCTTAGGATGGAATTAGCCAATGATGATGATGATGCACTCTGATTTTGTTGAGTCTAGTGAATATGAATTGACAGAAGCATTTGAAATGATGTAGCTTGTGTTTTTCTGAAACTCCTCTTCTCCTTTTGCTTCTTTTTGTTTGTTACAACTCAATGTAATTGAATTGCCCAATTCTATCAATCCAAACTAATGTATTTTCATGAGACTACCACTGTTATTATATGCTAAATCTCATTTCTAAATTTGTATCTTTTAAGATTTCACACAAATGAATTCTAGTGCTGATCAAATTATRGTTATTTCATTTGTCAAGGTTCCAAATAATCAAGTTAGTAGCTTGAGATATGTAAACACTTTTATTGTTATTATCACAAAACGAAACTAGGATGAGTGTACTCAATGTTCCAAATGGGCCAAGGTAAATAAAATGATTTAGAGGGGAATTCTACGAAGAYCACCTACTAAGAATTAATTTCTTATGTGTTACTTGGCTAAATATAATAGGGTAAGGTGGTTCTTACGTGAAAAGGRAGGGTTTGGTTTAGAATCCATKGATATTTTTGATATACTATATTATTATTAACAAAATGTTAAAAGCATAATAAGAACTTAGAATGGAAAGAAATTTTTTGTTAGTAAAACGAATATAGTTTCTAGAAACAAAAAACGTTATCAAACTAAGTATTAAGTTATTTGAGCTACAAAATATATGCAAATAAACTAAAACATGTAGGATCCTCAAATTTTTATCTCAAGGATTTTTGTTTAGTATTTTAAGGAGAAATTCTCAACGATAGGAAGCTATTTGAGATAAGGAATAGATATTTATCATTTTCATTTATTTTCTAAAATTATAAAKGATAGGTTTGTGAGATTTTATGAGACCTTTTCAGCACTTTCTTGGGAGAGTGTCCCGGACTCGGCTCGTCCCATAAGAATAAAGTTGCATCACTTAGTTAAAAGACATGTTTGATAGTAATTTTAGAATAAGTTGTATTCTTTCACAAAAACAATCCAATTATACTTGGATAAAAAGTAATAACAAGTCATTTTGATGTACTTGTGTGATTTGAAAAGTGATTAGAATGCAATTAAATATGCTTTTGAAGGATTAATTAATGTTTTGTTGTCGAAAGTGACGATTGAACAATCAAGTTACTAAAAATGACATTACATTCGATAGGAAAAGACAATTTAGAAAGTGAGAGACAAAAATTACTGAGGCAATGATATCTATAAACAGTTAAATTTATCCTAATGAAACATAATAGGACCAATTCTTTATTCTAAGACAGAAATCAATGTTTGAAACAACTCTCAAGCAGCCTTATAGAACAGAATTTGTAATCTTTAAACATACATTATTATTTTAAAGCATCCCTCCCCTGAATGAATGTACATGTTTTTTTTTAATTAAATTAATTTATTTTTAGTACAAGAAAAAGCAACAGAGATACAAGAAAATAAATAAAAGTAGTTTAGTAAAGTTAATCTTCGTGGGGAAGAAGATCGTTAGCGAAAGCTTTGAAGAGTCTTGAAGAGGGATGTCCTCTAACTCCAACAAAAATTTGAAGTGATTTATTTTTGCCTGTACTGCTAAAGTGTTTGCAACTTCATTATAACCTCGCACGGTAAAATTAAATCCTTCTCGATTGCCTTCTGCTTTCATTTTTCATTTTATTTCATCGATTGTCAACTGAATTTCATTTTTCGAAAATTCCTTTTGCAAATCAATTTTCCAAACTATTTTAGAGTCGATTTCTATGTGCATAAAGGTCGAATATACTTGCTTCCAAAACAATGGTTATGTCCTCATTCAGAGAATGACTTCTGCTAGCTTTATCGATCCTGTCAACTGCATGAATTTTTCAACGGATGTCATCACGGCTCCTTTGGAATCACAAATTACTACTCCTGCCTCAACACAAGTGTACATATTATAAAATAAAACTTCTGTCATCAAAATACAATAATATTTTATGAAGCAGCCATGATTTAATTATACAACATGATAGCATAAACTTTATTAAATAATAAGTATAGTATATTAAAGCAGCCATGCCTTTATATATATATATATATATATATATATACACACACACACACATATATAGAATAGACTTGTACCATTAAACTCATTTTTTAAACTACAAATTCCCACAAAATCCAATAGATATGCCATACCCAAGTTGGACAAGATCTAGTTTAGATAATTTATAAAAGAGAGTGGTTGATACAAATCATTAACGAATATCAATTAAAAATTAATTGATTTACWATTAGTGTAAATTTATAAATTGGAGTGGTGTTGATACAATTATTGATGAATATTATTAAAATATCTATAAACCGTTAAATTTATCCTAAGCTTTCACCTTAAACTTTTGAATTGATGGATGRTTTAACGTAATATCAAAGCAGCAAGTCCTATATTATTCTTTCCTCTCATTTAATATTGATGAAAATGTAAGTTTATACTTCCTCTTGATCTCTTCAAAATGTTTTGGACTATTTTTTGCAAATACATTTGAATTTTTAACGAATTTTTGAAGATAAAAAATCAGCTTTAAAATCASAGTTTGAAAGAAACCAACTTTAATATTAAATCTAAGCTCGTCTTTCCTTACTTCAACTTTAAAAAAATTACAAGCTAGTATATAAACATGACTACTGAACACACAACCATCCAGGTCAAAAGTTTCACCCCAACACAATTATGAAAAACATTAAAAAAAAAACCCTAAAATGTACTGATTATATCCATGCACCAAATTCTTATATTGGATTATAGTGAGGGGTTTTTTTTTCTATAAATACAAAGGCCCTCGAGAGAGCCATTGATAAGAAAAGATAGATTAAACTAGGGAGGTAAAAGAGAGGAAATATAAATGGAGTGGAAGAAAGTTGGGTTAGTGGCCATTGTGGGGATGTTGATGGTGGCTGCTGTGGCTGAGTCTGCCGGCGTCAGCGCCGGCGAAGGGATTGAACTGCCGTCTGACGGAGTGAACAAAATGAATTTGGTGAAGGAGGGTAAAAATCAGGGAGGAGATTGCCCTAGAATCCTTGAGGAGTGCACCACTGATGCCGAGTGCTGGGAGGTGTGCATTGATTGGAATTGCCTTTCAAATGGTTTTTGTGGTTGAAATATTATTTAAATGACGTGTGTGTGTTTTTTTTTCCTCTATTTCTATGCAAATAAAGTATGTCTCCTGTTCATCACTCTCATCTAGGGTTTAGAGGAGTGTGGGATTAGTTTGTGTGAAAAACCATATGAAGCATTTTATTAGTGTAACCTTTAATTTCTCTAGTGTATGAAGCATATTCTTCTATGATGGTTTTACAATTACTAATATGTTATAGTTTGAATCGAGGGATCTTCAGTTCCGAGAACTCTGGGACCATGCTGCTTCTCGTATTTTTAAGGTTATATTATATGTTTAGATTAGTGTAGTGTTTGAGAAACTTAAAAAGCATTTAAAAGGCCGTGATAAGGTAAACTTTCACTTTGGTATCCAAATTATAGATTTGTCCTTGATTTAATTATTTAAATTTTAAAACTTTTCAAAATTCGTGGAGAGTTTGCATTGCAAATATTTGTGTTTATGTGTAGTATTAAGAGTGTTCAAGTCTGCCTGCCTGATCTTTTTGGATTTTGGTACCATATCAATATTCAAATGATCTTACAAACCCCGAGCAATAATAAGAGTAACCCACTTATATGATAAGGCGCCCTTGATAGGTACTTTATCTTTTTTATTGACGTGTGATCCTTAACRTGTAGTGTATTAAAACTCACTTGAAATCAATAAATCAAAAGTTGTAAACATATATGATGTATACCCATCATAAGCTAAAATTTACTGAATCAGATCATACAAATTAATCCTAGGAGAGAGAAAAGAGTCTGAATTTTTTTTTTTAAAACTTTCTTGGATAACATGGTTACAAATAATGGTAATATACAATCACTTTAAACATGAGAATTAAGCACAGTCATAGACGGTTTATCATATTTGGACGATAAAAATGCATAAAACATTTGGGACAGTGAAGGGCATAGATACAAGGTACCAAACTACATGTAGATATAGTTAAGACATTTTTTGAAAGTATAAAGACTAAAACAACAAAAAGTATCAAAGACTCAAATGAACCAAAATTAAAAATATTGGAACTAAAATTGTATTTTAATCTTTATTTTATTATTATTATTTTATTTTTAAGTTTTTTTTTTGAGATATATTTTATTTTTAAGTTGTACATTAATGGAAAGTGGACTATTTGTGATGAATTATGAGTATGCTTTAACTTTTTGTGAGAAGAGAGGGGCCACTTTTCCTTTTTCTCTTTGCCAAATGTTAATAATAATAATAATAACAACAAATAGTGGTGTTTTGTCGTGACTAGACTAGTAATACAATTGTTCCATAAAATTAATCAAGATATACGTAAACTAGCATAAATATACGGGCAGATTACATCGACCACCCCTAAAGTATGATGATTGTTGCAATTTCATCCTTAAACTTTTAATTGTTGTAATTTCACTCCCTTAAACTTGTATAAGTGTAAAAATTAAACCAGGTGGAAAAATTGTACTCATAAACTTTTAATTACAAAAATTAAACCCCTAAACTTTGGTAATTGAAAAAATTCGTACAAAAATTTTCCATCTTAAAAAAAAAAAAATCTATTTTTACCATTCACCCTGTCTTCCCACCGGCGATAAAGTTTTAGAAACGATTCCTTTCATTTCAATTTTTTCCCGGCTGTTCCAAAGCGTGTATAAATCAAAATTCAGATTCATAATGGCCAACACCAATCGCATACTCTTTATTGCTCCTTCTATAAATTCTTGAGAATCCAATTAATTTGAACCCAAAAAATTGTTTTGATTAGAGTAGAAACTTGAAAGCTACAGAGGCGAAAATCGCTACACCAATACAAGGGATGTGGCTGTGCGATTGAAGAAAGTGACGAAGTTGAAATTCAGAATCAGGCTATAAGCCATAAAAAATACTCTTTGAGGAAAATGGAGAGAGATGGTAAAACTAGATTTTTTTTGTTTGTTTAGGATTTAATTTTTGAAATAGAAAGTTTAGAGGTGAAAGTCAGGGGTTTAATTTTTACATTCATACAAGTTTAAGGGTGAAATTGTAACAATAAAAAATTTAAGAGTGAAATTGCCTCCATCAACATATTTTA